AAAAGGGTGGCAAGAAAGGTTCTACTGGCAAATAACACTGGAGCAAATATCTGAGTCAGGTGAGGATAGGATCACATGGACACCTGGAAGGAGAGGATCGGAGGTGGAAAGAAGTCAGGCAAAGTCCTGAGCCAGACTTGTGCTTCAGATCGTCACGGTACCATAGGGCACTCGCGACTTCAGCAAAGTTAGTAAGGCAGGAAGAAGAGAAAGTGAGACGGAGCAGAGAGCTGGTCAGGGGGAGCGGTGCCTGCCTGCTGTTGTTAGGTGCCGTCCAGTTGGTTCCGACTCATAGCGACCCTCCATCCAACAGAACGAAGCGCTGTCCCATCCGGCACCATCCTTACAATTGTTGCTATGTTTGAGCCCCTTGTTGCAGCCTTTGTGTCAATTTATCTCCTTGAGGATTTCCCTCTATTCTGCTGCCCCGCTCTTTGACCAAGCACAGTGTCCTTCTCTAGAGACATGTCCAAAGTAGGTGAGATGAAGTCTTGTCATCCTTGCGTCTAACGAACATTCTGTCTTTCTTCCAAGACGGATCTGCTCATTCTCTGGCAGTCCGTGGTATATTTAATATTAATAGCAGGTTTGCTGATTTTCCACCAAGTAAGATGAGGAGCCGCTGGAGTTTTGAGTAGAGGAATGGCATGATTTGATTAATGGCTTAACAAGACCATCTGGCTGCTGCATTGGGCGTAGACTGCAGGGCCAAGGAGAGATGCAGGGATAACAGACAGGAGGTAAGGATGACAGCCTAGGTGAGGCATGTTGGGACTTTAGGACTAGGGGTAAAAGAATGAAGATGATGAGAATCCTCCTATTCCGGGACAATTTGAAAGGTTCATAATCCACAGATTTTTGGATGGGGTGGGTATTGGGGATGAGAAAGCAAGGAGCACCCTAGGGTGTTTGTCCTGGGCCATTGTAAGGACAAATTGTCATTCATTGAGATGAAGAACACTGCTGAAGGGTCAGGTTGGAGTTGGGGGTGGGGGGGCAGTGATGATAAGGATTACACGTGGGCTCCGTTACATGCCTGAGAGGTCCTCAGAGCCCCAAGTTGACATGTTCGGCAGAACACTGGACATAAAGATCTGAAATCCGTGCCACAGAAATCTTTTGGGAATATAATGGTTAGGTATTATGCCAGTTGGGGTGAGCCGAGATTCTCTCATATAGGATCCAACACAGGGTAATCAACCCCATGAGAGGATCTACTGTGAAGCAGTCATGGAATTAATCCAGTCACAGCCTTGATATGATTGTGGGAGCTTCCATTTGTGGGAGCTTCCATTTGGAGCGTGCTGACTCAGTAGAGATTGACGGTATGGGGAAGGGAGCTAGTTTACTTCTACTACAGGTCCTCCATCGGGTTCATCTACCTCCTAGTACATTGCCTGGTGATCCCAGGAGTCATCAGTGGACTGCTGACCTGGGAAAACCTTGGATTTATTGGGCCGAGCTTGGATTCATTCAGCTCCGCGTCCATTAGCCTGTGTTCTTCCTAAATGTTGCCCCTAAGCAAATCTGGAGAAGCCTCCAGCTTGCATCTGATCCACAGTTTTAAACCAGACTGGGCTGAGCCATTTCTACAGCTCTCTGAGCTACCTCTCAATATAAATCTCTTTCTGTGTACATTCACATATAAGCGTCACTGATTTTCTTCTCTAGAGAACCCCGTCCAATACAGGGGAGTCTTAGGTCATAGGTCAACTTTAAAGGAAGAACCCATGCAAGGTGTGAATGAGCGTTCCCAGGAAGAAGGAGAGGTCTAAGCTGAACAGTTTTATCCTTGGTTCAAAGACACGGCAGCTTTCTGCTCAAGACGTAAGGATCTGTCTCACATTTCCGATATAGCAAGATCTCTACCACAGTATATAAAGATACATCACAACCATGACTTACGACGCCCTATGGAAGGGGAAGGGGTAGCAGAAGTCCTCTTTCTTTCTCGGACACATAGCCAAATGCTGACTGGCTTACTTCTGCTTTTCTCCTTCACGGTAAACACAGTTATCGATGCACACGCCTTGGACAGTCTCATTTCTGTTTCCTGTTTTTTCCTTTTTTAAACAGTTGGCTCCATTTGCTGACATTTGATAGAAAAGGCTTAATCTAACACGGGCAGGATGAAACTCCAAGCGTTCCTGCCTCACACATACACCTACATCACCAGCTTCCGGGGACGGAGGGATGGCCAGAAGCTGCGAAGCCAATCAATAGTCCATGGTTTCGATATATTGTAATCCACCAAAAGAAATCAAACACACACACGCAATGCCCAGTAGTTAGCACCCAGGCAGTAGACTGATTAGCTATTGATTTTTCCTCCCGGTGAGAGAGAAAGGATAGGATTTTATCGGAAGCCCCAGCTCTGGGTTTGCAGAAACAAATGACCAGGGAGAAAGCAAGGGGAGATGGAGAGGGGATTTTGGAATTTTGAACTCATCAAACTCACAAAGCTCCACCTCATGGCCACGGAGTGGATTCCGATCAGGGCAGAACTGCCCCTGGGAGTTTCGGAGACTGTAACTCTTTATGGGAGTAGAGAGCCTCCTCTTTCTCCCTCAGAGTGCCTGGTGGTTTTGAACTGCTGACCTTGTGGTTAGCAGCCCAACTTGTAGCCATTAGGCAACCAAGGCTCTTCTTTGAACTCACAGCCCAGTTGAAATATGCTGAATCCATACACAGCATCAGCATTTAATATATAGGAAAGGCGGGCTATCAAGTTGTGAGTTCACTGCCTGCTGTTGGATGTAGTGGAGAGAGAACGGCTAACTGCATGGGGCCGGCACAGGCCTAAGGTCTGGGTCCTCTGTGAACATCAATGGCTAGGGACCTGTGCATTGTTTGATCTTTATTGGAGAATGAGCTGGGTATTAAGAAATGAAAGGACATGGGGCGGGGTGGCAGGGGCCTGCTTCCTAGATCACAAAGGGCTTAGGGAACTCTGCTTAGGAATTGAGCAAGCCTCCCCAAAGACCTGGGGGAGGTTTGTGTATAAGATGTGGCTCACACTGGTATCCTCACCCTGGGCCTACCATTACCTCACCTGTCTGTTCTCCAGTGGCTGCCAATCACCCTGAATCTGTGCCATGGTGGGTGATCCAGCTGCATGGCTATCTGGCCCCAGCAGCCACCCAACAGCACCTGTGACCTGTGGCCAGGCTTCCAGATCCCCTGTGACACCTGGTCATCTCTCTTCTACCAGCTGGGGCATTCTGTTCGGGGGCTTGTTTGGCTATACAGCAGGCCCCTGTGGGCTGCCATCCGCGTTGACATGGCTACCTTTCCACTCACCGAGGAGGTTCCTGAGGGCCTGGGCTCCCATCATCCTCTCTGCACCAGGCACACCAGGATCTGGGAAGGCCTGGCTCTGCTGGCCCAATCCCAGCTCCCACTTTGTGGGCAGTTTAGACCATCCTTCCGCACTGATGACGTGGCATGCTGCCTCCCCCCAAATTCCTAACCGCCTACCCTGCCACCCCTTAAAACAGCAGTCCATCTTTCACCCATGACAGCCTCTTTACTGGCTCTACTATCCCTCCCGACAACCACACCAGAAGACCCGCTTCTGCTTGTCATAATCTTCTCTCTCGAAGGCAAACCCCACAAAGAAGGCTTTGGGTTATGCCCATTGATAAAAGAAGGCTCCAACGAGTCCATGGAGGAATTTCATTACTTCATAATTTCATTTTGTCTACCAGCTTTGTGAAACCCCTTCCTAACAATCCAGGGCCCCCAACAGGCTTAGAGCAAAGTACATCAAAAAGCCCAAACTCACGTTGTGACGTCAGTTCAGACCCATAGCGACCCCGCAGGACAGAGCAGAACTGCCCCATGGGGTTTCCAAGGTTGTACTCTTTAGGGAAGTAGGCGGCCGTATCTTTCTCACAGGGTGGACTAGAGCCATCGGCCTTCTGGTCAGCAACCAGGCACTTTCGCTGCTGCGCCACCAGGGCCCCTTTGAACAACGTGGATTTTGAAGAATGATCCTCTGAAGAAAGAGACGGGGCCTATTGCCCACTTAGTGTTTCCTTCGTGAAAGAATCTATGTTTTCTGAGGACCAAAAGAACTGAGCTGAGAACAGTGAGTTTGGTGTAGTTTGGGAAGCAAAATGGAATTACAGCACCAGAGCAGCGGTACCGTGGAAGAATTCTCAGCCCTGTGCTAGAGATCCACTCAAGTGCCATTCCTGGTCACGCAGCCCAGGCGTACCTGTGGCTATGGCGCAGAACGGGCTCCGGTGGAGCTTCAGGACTGAGAAGGAGCAGGAAGAAAGGCCTGGTGAGCTACTTCCGGGCACTAGCACACAAAAAGCCTACGGAACACAATGGTTTAACCCATAGCCCGAGGATGGTCCAGGGCTGGGCAGCATCTTGTTGCTTTGTGCCGGGGTCCTGGAAGCTGACTGGAAAGGAGCATGCCTCATCCACAGACCACCAGAAGGGCAGGAAGAGTGACCCAGATCCCCTCAGTACTGAACAGACCATCTCGCGGGAAGCAAATAGGCTGTCAGGGAACCAGAACATCAAGGGACCAGTAACGAGTACCTAACATCGCACTTGGTTTTAAGTTGAAATAATTAGTGATGTCGGCAAACACCCTGCTCCCACCCTCTGGTCTCCAACACAAACAACCTAAAACACAAATTCACTCCCACCATGTCCATGTCACTCACAACGACCCTGGGACAGAGTCGAACTGCCCCTGCGGGTTTCCGAGACTGCCACTCTTTACAGGAATAGAGAGGCTCATCTTTCTCCAGCAGAGCGGCTGGTGGTTTCAAACTGCTGACCTTGTAGTCACCAGCCCAGGGCATAACCACCATGCCACATTCCCCTCTAAAGGACAAATCCGGACCCTGGATTTCAGCTGGAAGTTGAGCTGGAAAAGTAAAGCCTCTAGTGAATGTTACATTTCCCTTCTGCACACGGCCCCAATCTGGCAGCCTGCAAGACAGACAGAGCTTCCACAACGGAGCTGCCGTGGCTCTTACCGATGAGTTCCTTGTTTCTGACGTCCAAGGCCATGTTCCGCAGGGCGGTGGCCACGGCACACACCACACGGTCGTTGTCTATTCGCAGCAACTCCACGAGGATGGGCAGCCCTTTCTCTTTCCGGACAGCAGCTCGGATGTACACTGACCACTGCAGAAGGAGGCAAAGGGGTGTTAGCAACAGAGCAGGAGGTCTGGTTCATGGGAGCCGAGACTGCTGCTTAAAATAGGAGCCAGAGAGGTTGGGTGAGCAAGACCTACTTGTAGAATGAGTGCCCAGGTGGGGCACATGGTAGATGGTTAATGCATCTGGCTGCTAACTGAAAGGGGGGAGGTTCAAGTCCCAGCCACAGGGGCAGTGTAAGAAAGGTCTGGAGACCTTTTTCTTAAAAATGGCCCCTTGGAAACCGTATGGACCACAGTCTGGGCCCACACATACGAGGTCACCCTGAACCGCAATTGGAGCCACGGCAATTGGAAACTGGGCATTGTAGCACAGGTTGGCTCTGTCCAATACGTTTTTTAAAATGTTAACTTTATTACTTTATTAATTGATTGGTTTGCCTTCCAGGTTCCACCTGTTTGCCTCAGGTTACACCTGAGCTTTCCCTGGGCCAGCGTGGTCAGCTCCTCAGGATGAAAGCCATGACCAGTACATCGAACGCTTGGAGAGGGTTGGATCAGGGACAGGAAGGCCTGGCTGTGGACATGAAGAGGTATTCAGAAAAAGCATTTTATAAAATGCTTGATGCTGAAAAAGGAGACATTGAGGAAGGGCTGAGTGTGGGTGATATTTTTAAACAATGTCTGGACATGTAAGGACACAGAGCTTGCTGGTTAAGTGGGGTCCGGCCACTTGCTGACAGTAAGAAATGCCTGAGCCCCCCAAAAGGCAGGGGTGTGGAGAGGAAGAGCTGGGCCTGAAAATCAAGGATGCAGATTTCAAAGGCGTTTGTGAAAAGAAACAAAGGTGGAAATGTATGGTGTCCAGTGTCGTAATTTCATCTCCTAGTTTATTATGTAATCTCATCAGCCATTTGTTTGGAGGTTGGCAATTCCAGAACATCATAGAACACACGGACATTTAAATTTAAAAAATCCAAAAATCATATGAGGTGCCACGGAGTCTATTTGGACTCCAACAACCCAATGTGTATCAGAGTAGAACTGTGCTCTGGAGGGTTTTCAATGGCCAGGATCATTCAGAAGTAGATTGCCAGGGGGACTCTGGGTGACTTCCAACAGCCAATCTTTCAGTTGGTAGCTGAGTGCTTAAGCCTTAGCATCACCCAGAGACTCCTAATGGAGTTTGCTAATGCTTAAATCAGAAATGCATTTGCAACATGAGGAGAATGAGGAAGCCTTCAGATTCATTTTATGGAATGCAGCCAGACTCACAATTTCGTGTTTGTTTTATACCCTTCCTTAGTGTCCCGAGAAGAGGGTATCATAGAAAAATCAACAAACATAAGGGCGTAATCTATCGCAATTTCATGATAGCATCTAAGAACATCACACTCATGGAATGAGGTCTTGGGGTCCATGGCAAGTCCTCTTGGGGACCACCTCTGGAGGAGCAGAGCCCTCCCACACCTCCCCCACTGGCCCTTTCCACCTCCCCTTCCCATAGGGCAGGCACCCCAGAGCTGGCTCTCACCTGTGGCAGGCAGGGAGCCCCCTCTGGCAGTGACCGTAGGGCATATGCCATGCCTGCCACATCCTCAGCCCAGCCCTGCATGAAATATGAGATTGAAAAAAACAAACATCTTCATCCCGTCCTACATCAGAAGTCACATTCACATAGCTTCTTATCACCATCAACTCACAGGGAATACGGCTACCTGCCCCGTTTTGTGTCTCAAGCCCTGGAGAGCCAGGGGTGGTGGGCCTAGAACTCACGAGAGTATCTCTGGATACCAGCCCCGTACTCAGGGATCAATGACACACATGGGAGGTTTGGGCATTGATTCCTGAACGTGTCATTCCATCCCCCGAAGGAAGGCACTCCTGCCCCACACCAAATGCCAAAGCCCACCATTGCTCTTTGCATCAGACAAGGATGTTCTCCTTGTAGATCTGCCTCTCCCAACCCCTTGGCCCCACCCAGAAGGGAACAGAGCCTATTCTCTAAAACTAAATAAGGAACCTAGAGAAGGGGATAGAGAAGAAGCCAAGTATTGGGTCAATGCTTACATCTAGAACAGTGACTATCAACAGCATGTTTTCATACCGGGCATCCAGCCTTGCCCTCTGCAGGGCCTTTAGGGATATCCCTGGGAATTCAGGCAGGTTGACCCATAGGTTGACCCAACATCCAGTTTTCCAGTTATCTTTCCTAGACCAGCTAATGGCTTCTACATATGCATGCTCTTTTAATTATCCAAATCTCTTGAAGTTCAGCACTCTGGTTATTTTATAAACAAAGACACTGAAAGGCAAAGTGGGTGATTAACCGGCCTGCAGAGCCCTGCTTTACTATCCTAGAACACGTCACTCCAAACGGTTCTCTGTGCTGTGGACAGTGTTTCTTCCTCTGCCTTCATCTTCTCCCATCTGACCAATACTCTGTGCTCTGTCTTCCAGACATTGCCCGTCCCTCTCTGTCCATCCTTCCAAACTGAGAAGAGCACTAGGCAGCATCTGAATAAGCCATAATGGGAAGAATATAACTTTGTTTTTCCCTCTTAGAAGCCCAGCCTATTCTACTCCCTGCATGTTAGATGGAAAGAAGATTTGGTGTTGGGGTTGGGAAATGGTTTGGGAGTAACAACAAAGGGCGGAGGATGGGCAAACACACCCATAAGTGAAAGATACACATGTGTGGCATGAGGACAGGGTCAACAGTGGGATGCTCTCCCTGTATTAACAGGAATACCTACACCGTCAACTTGATACTTAAATGACTGATGCACAACAACATGGAGACGTGTGCATGGTTTATGGAAAGTTTCCAACATTACCTCTGAAGAGCCCTGGTGGGGTAGTGGGTTACATGGCAGGGTGCTAATCACAAAGACAGCAGTCTGAAACTACCAAAAGCTCCACTAGAGAAAGAAGAGGCTCTCTACTCCTGTAAAGAGTTATAGTCTCGAGTCCCATAGGGGAAGTTCTGCCCTGCTTGACCTATAGGGTCATTATGAGTCAGAACCAACTCAATGGCAGTGAGTTTTGTACACGGTCACTCAGAATAAAGTGTTTACTTTTCCTTCAAAAGATGTTGCAAGTTTCCACAGTTTTCTTGATCTGCACTGTGATGTTTTTTCATGGACCCACCTACCAGTTCTGGAGTAGGCCCTGCAGATGATCCTACATGCGATCCCCATATGGATCCCAGAAAGGAGGAGCTAAAGTATAGATAGGGTTCAAAGAGAGAAAGGCATGATGTGCGCTAGAGTATCTGGGAAATGGAGAGCATTCACAAATTCTCCCAACAGAGGCATTCAGAGATTCACGTAGTTCTTCCAAAGGAGGGGTGAGGTAGAAGTCTTTTCAATAAGCCTTGAGCTTCTGCAGACAAAATGAGGTGCTAGGACCTGAGCATGTCAGTGCAGAGGGGAGGGACAAGCTCGGGATGAATCAGGATGCCCTTTAGTAGAATGGTCCATGAGTGAAAGACAGGATGCTTACAGATTCAAAAGGATGAGGGCAAAGAGCAGGAGTGGAAGAGGAGGGAAAATAGGAGGAGGGTGATTTGGCCAGGAGTAGCAGGAAAGAACCATGGTACAAACGTTTCCTGGCTTTCCCAGAGAAGGATTCAGGAGGTTGATGAACCCCTGAAATAATCCCAGGTCACCTTTACCAAAGGAGTGTGGTGGTGTAATAGGTTACAAGTTGGGCTGCAAATGGAAAAGTAGGCAGTTTGAACCCACCATCTGGTCCAGAAGAGAAAGAGGTGGCTTTCTCCATCCATAAAGATTGACAGGCGCAGGGACCCAAAGGGGCCCAGCCAACTCTATCCTACAGTGTTGCTAACATTTACTTAACACTTAACACGTTAGGCACTGTTCTAAATTTTTTGCATTCATTAATTCTTGCAATTCATATATCAACCTTGTGTGGTAGACATGATCACTGATCCCATTTTACTGCTGAGAAAACAGAGAAAACACAGCCTCCAATGTTCTCCCAGAGCCTTCCTGTGGGACCATCATTCTCTTCCATCCTCAGAAAGATATATGCATTCTAAACGTCTGTACTCACAGTTGAGACAGTCCTTTAGAAACCAACCAATTAGCCTTGGACTCATTTGAATTAAGGTGCTGCGAAGAATATTGAAAAGTATCATGCACTGCCAATAGAACAAACAAAATTGTCTTGGGAAAGTACAGCCTGCATGTTTCCTTGGGAAAGAGGCTGTTGAGACAATTATCTCCCATACTTTGGTCATGTTTTCAGGGGAGACCAGTCTCTGGAGAAGGACATCATTCTTGGTAAAATAGAAGGGCACTGAAAACAGAGGAAGGCCCTCAATGAGATGGACTGACAATGGTGGCGGCAACATTGGGTTTAAACATAATAATAACCGTGAGGACGGTGTAGTTCTGGGCAGTGTGCCATTCAGTTGCAGGTGAATTGCCAAATTTTGTTTAACATTTCTAGTTGGGGAAGAAGTTTGGTTGGGGGTTAAAACAGGATTTTGCTGGTGTGTTTAAAAGAACTATAAATGATGGAATCAAAGGTCTCAGCTGGTTTATTGGAAGTGTGCTCTCTGGCTCCTCATCCCCTTTCTCATACCAATAACCCCCTTACATACCTCTGGGCCACGTCCATTTTTCTACCTGAGCATTTACCCAGATTTTAAAAAATGTCTTGCTGACATGTTTATTATACAACATGGCTCCTAAGGGAAGAACCCAGGTCCTGTTTATGTCCTTATCTCCTTTGTCTTTCAGTTTCTGGCTCACAGAGATTACAAAGTATTTATTTGATGAAAGAAAAATGCCAGGTGGGTTTGTAACCACAAGTGTGTTCGATTTCAGAAGAGTGTTCTCCACTGAGGGGAAAGATGGGAAGGAACAAGACTGTTCTGGAGAGGACCAGGGAGTCCCAGTCTCACTTCTACAAGTGCGCTGAGGGGTTCAAGTGACTGCGTGCGCTTTTGGGGAGTGGGTTTCAGAAGTCAAGCTAATCCCTTAATTGTGGCTCCTCTGT